TATATATATATATATATATATATTGGTAAAAGAAAATCGTCATTGAAAGCGGAAGTGATATGTGACACCGACATATTTGAATATGGATTGAGATTTGGACTAAACCTAACACTCTTAACATCACCAACTTGTGGTCTTGTGGACGATATCTAACAAATCACAAACATCTAAAGTTCTTTCATGTGTAATGTCTTAACATTTTACATTATCCAAAATTTTATCAAACTTCTCCTTAAATAAATAATGAAAAATTATTTACCTCTCATTTATTTATTTATTACTCATTTCTGTATAAATACACGATCTAAATACAAGTTCTTAATTATTTTTTCTTCTATATAGTACCCAAATTTCATTTTTTATCAAAAATAATATAAAAATTGCATCCGAGTTATACTAATACCCTCACTTATCATTTGTGGATTGCAAATTAAAATTCATTTTCACCAAAACCAATTAATAATAATAATAATAATAATAAAATATAAAAAAGTATGCAAAATGTTACGGTGATGCAGGAACGACGAGTGCGGTAGACACGTAACGCAGCGCGAAAAAAGAGAAAAGCTGTATTAGGGAAACACGTGCATGCTGCATGAACAATACTTTTTATAGCACTGTTTATTCATCGTTGTGTAATACTTTATTTAAATAATATGACGCTATAAATTATTATATATTTTCATTTTCTTTTATATAAAGATATGTTAATCTTCAGAATCATAATAAATGGTTTAAATGAAAATTAATTATTTCAAAATGAAGTAACTTAATCATATAAATGACAGGTAAATTACTAGACCTGTGTGAAAAAAGGTTATCCTTTAATGATGCAGAGTAGCAGAAAAATAAATACTCTATCATATTCAAGGAAATTTTTTATAAAAGCATACAGACTATGATAAAATATTATTTTAAATTACATTGGGATACTCATTTTGTGAGTTCGAGGTTCCTAACAGTATTGGTGCTTCTAGCAATAAATAAATTTTAGAGATACCATAATTAAAAAGGTATATTCATCTTTAACCCAATAATTTGAACTTACCTGCTTAAAGAACACAAGAATCAAGCAACATGGTAGATGTGGTTGATTAGTATATTATAGAGTGCATGAGTGGGAGTTGGCACGCACCTGTGGCCCATTGAAGAGATACTGAACAGAGTGCATTGACATGATATTGCAGCTGGAAAAGACGCGCCTTGTCCCTCATTTTATATTGGAATCATAAAGATGCATGTAATTTTTGGTGAACTCATTCAATGTATTGTATTAGGAACAAACAACTAGTTTGTTACTTACACAGCTTGTGACTGTGTGAAACACAGAGAGAGAGAGAGAGAGAGAGATCTTCAGATTTAACTCTTCTGGGTTCACTTCTTACAGAGTGACAAGTTCCAGTCTGAGTTTCCTAGATTCCTGACAGGGGTTTAAGGTTGTGGGCACTTCATGTTTGGAAAAAAGTTGTGGCCTTTACTCCCATTGGAGAATGTCTGAATCTGCTGGGCACTGTCGTTAAAGTAGAATCAAGGAAAATATTGGGATTTAAAGGAGCTGGTAAAGTGTCTTGGGAATGTGAGCATGATTTGCAAATGAGGTTGGTCTGAATAGTTCAGAAGAGTTCTCAGAAAGGAAAAGAAAGAGCCTTGTTTTTTGTTTTCTTTTTTCTTTTCTATTTTCTCCGGAGAAAGTGAGAGAAACAAGGTCAAGGAAATTTCTTTTCACCATCTTTGTCACAGTGGAAACAACTTTCTTTTTTTTCTTTTTTCTGGAAGAGTCTTTGATGGTTATGGAAGATTTTGACATGCAGTGAGGAGCAAGCCACCGGGTTCTTTTGGGGGCTTTGCCAAAGTTTACTTTGTTAGCAAGTGGTATGTATTTGTGTCTTATGCTCAAACCACTGGAGTCAATGAAAAAGAGATTGGAAATTAGAGCTTCCATTTGGGTCCTATTCTTATTCCTTTGATCTGTTATATCTTTGTATTTGGATGTAAATTAGTAGTCAAGATCACTACTTTCTCTTGTCTGTTGAAGAAAGATACTGCCATTAGAATTTCTACTTGGGATTCCGTGTTACCCCATTGATTTATAGGCTGATTAAGGGGTGCACTATGAGTTCTGATTGTATAATTTTCCAAGGAGATTTTTTATGAGACTATGTCTTAAGTCCATTGAAGAAGTTGGTCTGTGACTTTATTAGGCATAGCCATAGCCATATTCAAGGTTTGGTCTGTGATTTGGGTATTTCAAAATGGACAATAATGAACAGGAAACAAGGTCATTGGCACTGACTCCTACATGGTCAGTTGCTACTGTGTTGACTGTCTTTGTTGCTGTCTCTCTGCTTGTGGAGCGCTCCATTCATCGTTTAAGCAATGTAAGTAATAGTTAGACTAGAATCTATGTTGGTTCTTGATGTTAATTTCTCTGGTGTTGCATGGGAAAAGTTGGAATATTTTTCAATTTTCAAGGCATTTCTCAAACTTATGGTGAAGACTGAAACTACTATCAGGCTTGTCGATGAGTTGAGAAAGGGAAGGATAGAGGCAAAAAAAGTGAAAAGAGAAAAACAAAATGAGTATTTTGCATTACAACTAATTAGATATGGTCAGAAATTTCATTTCTGGGTGGAATGTAATGTAACTCTAAAATAGATTTAACAGGATCTGCATTAATTGACATGGAAAGAAGTTTTCACTCTCTTCATATGCATTTCACTTTTCATTTTTTGTTTAAACTTTAAAGCTTGATTCTGTCTTAATCACATACTTGTCTTTCTTGTGATTGAAGAACAATCCTTTCATTAATCAATACTTTGCCTTTGGCATGAATTCTGATATGTGATTACGTTTTTCTGTGACTGCAGTGGCTGCGGAAAACTAACCGAAAACCTTTGCTTGCAGCTTTAGAGAAGATGAAGGAAGGTGCTGTGCATTAAATTATGCTTGTATTGTATTCGTTTTAGATATAAACAATAACTCTTACTAACCAGTTCCCGTTATTTTGGAATTCCATCTTCAGAATTGATGCTACTCGGGTTTATATCACTCTTATTAACAGCTACCTCACGCATGATAGCAAATATTTGCATTCCATCAAAGTTCTACAACAGTGCTTTTGCTCCATGCACTAGATCCCAGATTGATGAACAAATGGAAGAGAATGGCTCTGAAAAGCGTAAACTATTGATGGCTTCTGCTTATCATGTATCTGGGAGGATGTTGAATGGAATAAATAGAAGCACTTGCAAAGAGGCATGAGCAATATACCTTACATGTATAAAATTTGACTATCACTTGCTTTTACTGCTCTAGATTATTTTAGTTAATCTGCAATTTTGTTATCATGCTCAGGGTTATGAACCATTTGTTTCGTATGAAGGTCTAGAGCAGCTGCACAGATTCATTTTTGTCATGGCAGTAACTCATATATCTTACAGTTGCCTAACTATGTTGTTGGCCATTGTGAAGGTGAGTTATTGTTTTCTGTTTATAGATTAAGAATGTCCAAATAGTTGTCACTGTTTCAAAAAAAGGGTTAATGTGTGAATTTTCTTGTCCAAAATGTGCTTGGGTTTTCATAATGATTTTTCTAGTTCTTTACCATGCTTAAAACCTTAAGCAAATTGGGATGATGTTATAAAATAGTTTGAGCCATTCTAAATAAGTTTTGATACAATGTGTATTACATTTATGTTGTCAGAAAAGGACTACCATATGCCTTTTTCATCTTACATCTCACATAAATCTTGGTATTTACTAATTGTATTATTCAAACAAAGTAAAAGTATGGAGAGTGATCCTATAAAAATTAACTATGTAATCCATGAAAAAGATTTGTGCATTTTTCTTATAAATAAAAAATATCATTTTGGATTTTGTTTGACATAATAACAATAGTAGTTCAAACCAGATTCACAGTTGGAGAGTGTGGGAAGACGAGGCTCACATGGATCGGCGTGATTCATTATCTGGTAAGCACATTGCCCTTTGAATTAAAACTATTTTAATGTTATACTTTTTAATTGTATGATTGATATACAAACTTACAAAGCACATTGATCAGGTTTGTTATCCTATAATCATCTCTTCTCTCAGTTATGCAGTCAATGCAGATAACACAATTTTGTTATATAATTAAAATCCAAAAGCATTTCTGTGTTTGATCTCTCCTAATTCACTTCACTGATCCTGTTTGACAGTTTAGTAGGCTTGTATGAGAGTTGACCATTGATAGAAAATATGTGGTCATGAAGTGAATATTTTAACCATATTTTGAATTTGATTTTTCAATTCTTTTGTTTCAACAGAAATTACAAGAGAGTTGACTATGAGAAGGCAATCAACCTTTGTCAAGTCTCATGTATCAAATCCATTGTTCAAAAACAGTTCCCTTATTTGGGTGGTAATTACATATCTCCCCTTCTTTTCTTGTTTCCAATTGGTTTCATTTCATTCGTGTACTTTTAACATTACCCTCTTTAGTTTCTTAAAGTTATTTGATGAAAGAACTAGGAAGATATGTTTTTATTAACTATGTTGACTAAAACATGACTAGAATTTTAATGATTACATTTTCGAAGTAGTCAAGCTTATGGGAATTCAATTTGTGGTTCTTCGCATACTAAATGCTATTATAGTACATTGGAGCTAATTGCACGAATCTCTTATTACTATCAGCCTTTTTTAAGAACAAAACAACATACTTTATATGAATGTTTTATTCCTAGGTACCTTGTACCCTCTACTACTAAATTTATATATCATTTTTATCATCTAGTTCTATGTAATTCCGGTTTCATTTTGAAGCATTTACTCAGTAATAGTATAACTGCATATCTATCTAATTTTAATTTTAAATAAGCTGCAGACATGTTTTTTTCGACAATTTGCACATTCTGTGGTTCGTGCTGATTATCTTACACTTCGCAAAGGCTTCATCATGGTACGCAGTATTGCAATAAAATTTGTCTTTTGTATGGTTGGTTTAAGCTATCTAATGTGGTTCTCGTCTCACAATTAATATATTTTCCCAAAGTTCTTTGGCTAATATGTTATTTATGTTGGGTACAAACAAAATTTCACATCGGATAAAATAAGAGATGGACATGGGTTTATATACACATAAGATATCTCCATTGATAAGAGGTCTTTTGGACGGATACTAAAAGCAAATCCATGAGGGCTTAGCCTAAAGCGGAATTTAAAAACTTTTATCTTTTCTTAAGAAAATTCAGGTTCCAAGTTCCTAGTGGAAACTGAAAAAGACTATTTAAAGACAGATACTTAGTGCATTTGCTTAATGTTAATTTTCTACCATCTGATTTTAAACTTACTGTGTTTTCCTTCTTCATGGCAGAATCACCACCTTTCATTAAAGTATGATTTCCACAGCTACATGGTTCGGTCTATGGAAGAGGAATTCCAAAGGATAGTTGGTGTGAGGTTAGAAATAGTCGAGATTCAGCAGTCAGTTTCATGATTTTCTTTATGTGCATTCCCATTATCTGAAAATTTCAAATATGACCTGTTTTAATTGTAAATATCCATTTACTTGTATTTAGTGTTTGGAGAGGTAGTTAAATTGTCTATGCTATACTCATTGCAAATTATCCAAATAAGAAGGCGATAATATAATGTCTTGAGCATCTTGGACTTATTCTTGTTACATTTTTATTGCTTTAGTTTTTCAGCAACTGATTCTCATGAAGAAATTGAAAGCTGATTGTCTATAAAATCTCTTGCAGTGGCCCGCTCTGGGGATTTGTTGTTGGTTTCATGCTTTTCAACATTAAAGGTATAGCCTATTATAAGCAGTCCAGGTGAAAATCAGTTTATAATTCCTTAATTCAGTCCCTTTTCTCTGTAAGATTTACTGAAGCATTGTGGTAAGATTGATCTTGGTTTTGCATGCTGTTGAATCTTACAGATGGTAATTTTTTGGGGTGGTTTATGCAGGATCTAACCTATATTTCTGGATAGCTATCATTCCTGTATCTGTAAGTTACTTCGTTATTTCCTTCATTTTCTTTTAGTTCTCCTAATTGCATCAAATGCCAGTGTGGTGGATAAACTGCACTTTTAAACTTTTGTTCCAGAACCATTTAGATGCTGTGGATGGTATGTGATTGGTTCTTTGTGAAATAGTTGGTGGGTTTTTTCTATGGAATTTGAATAGAATAACATGCTTAAATTATGTCCTTATTCACTAAAGTGCTTTATGATTTTTGTATGTTAAGTAAATTAGTTGAGTAAATTATTGATGACATTCAACAATACAATCATTATGTTTAATGAACAGCTTGTGCTTTTGGTGGGAACAAAGCTACAGCATGTCATTGCAACCTTGGCATTGGAGAATGCTGGAATTGCAGGGTTCTTCCCAGAAGCAAAGTTGAGGCCTCGTGATGAACTCTTTTGGTTTAATAAGCCTGAGCTATTGTTGTCCTTGATCCATTTCATTCTCTTCCAGGTTGGCCATGGTTCGTCTACATCTTATGCCATGTTTTCTTACCTAAGTTTGTTATTTTAGTATTAACTTCTGATTCTTTATTCTTTTTGGCAGAATGCATTTGAGCTGGCTTCATTCTTTTGGTTCTGGGTACTTCCTTATCCATTTTACAACCTAGAATTAGACATGGACTAATAGGAATCATATTGTTTTAAGGTTGAATTATTAAAAAGTAGTTATATTGCTTCGACATACATTACCCAAAATTCTGAGCAAGATTCAGTTTTTTTAGGGAGTTATAAGGAAATAAGATAAAACTATATATTTGTGTTAATGAACCGTAATACAGATTGCAACTTTGAGCTTTTGCATTTGACTAAACTATCAAAATGTGTTTTTTGACTACAGTGGCAGTTCGGATATGATTCTTGCTTTATTAGGAATCACCTTCTCCTGTATTTAAGGCTAATATTGGGGTATGCAGAAATCAACTTCTTCCCCTTATTCAGGATTTTACATAACAATGCTCGTCAAAACTAATTCAATAAAGCATTAACAAGCCATTAATATAAAATAACTACTTGGCATGGGTGTTATTCAACTATTTAATGTAAAATGTCGCCATTGGATGTTTACTGGTTTAGTTTACACAAGACAAATCAACATGCACCTTACATTTCAACTTTGCAGCTTTGCAGGACAGTTTCTTTGTAGCTACAGCACCTTGCCACTATATGCACTTGTTACACAGGTAGGTTAACCCCTGTTAGAATAATTACACTACTCAAAAGTCAATTTCTCATCCAAAGGCAAGGAAACTTTCATCGAAAGTTTCACATCGATCAGAAATAAAGTCAAATTTATAAGTGGGTGCAAACCACGTTTTATAAGTCCGTACTGTGAGATCGAATTAAGCTAAGATCTACTTAATAGTTTTCAAAATTGTTTCTTAAACTTGTGATTTAAAATCCAAAGAACAAGAACAAATAGATGTTTTCTCATCTTATACCACTTTTCTATTAATTACTGTAGCTGTTACCTGTCTTGCTTGATCCTCGCTACTAGTTGCTTTTACAGCTTTGTTTTGAAAACTAATAACTATTTTGTGAAACTGTAAATCACACACTCTATATGTGACAAGTTTTCAGTTTTTGGAAGCCTATAATTATACAAATGGTATTCCTTAATGCTGAATAATCCGTCATGTGTTGCATGAAAAATGGATTTGATACACTGAATGAATCATATTAGTGAAGGGCTTTTGCTTTTTCCACTATAATGTTCCATGCAACAACAGCTTTTCAATGTTTATATCAGATGGGAACAAACTACAAGGCAGCATTAATCCCACAGAGGATTAGAGAAACAATTCATGGATGGGGTAAGGCAGCTAGGAGGAAGAGAAAACATGGTATGTTCCCTGATGATTCCACCATTCATACAGACACAAGCACTGTGTTGTCTATTGAAGAAGATGATCAATTAATTGATGTCCCTGAAGTAGAATTACAACCAGTCACAGCTGTTACATCTACCCCTTCTCCCATTGTCAACGAAACGTCAAGTAGGGCTGCTACACCCCTCCTAAGACCCTCTGCCTCAATATCTTCAGCTCATAGCAGTTCTAAAGCTGAAGTAATTTTAAGATGCTCCTCTATGCCAAGTGGGAGATAAAACATCTGCAATGGAGGAAACTGAAAAAGGTTAACTGGTATATTGATGAAGATAGTATGATAATTAAAGATTTATAAGATGATTACTAGTTCATTTAAGAAAAGCTTTACAAGGTAATAGTGCTTTTGGACATTACTAATTTATGTGGAACAACTATAGAATATGGGTGACTTTTGTTGGTATCAAGCAGTAACACAAGTTCTTTTTGGATTTGACTTGATGTAAATTGTTAATGTTGATTATACATTAAAGAAAATGGATGTCAATGCAGTTAGCAGAAAACTCCTTTGTGCAATGTATGCACATTTTATGACAGTCTTTTTTATACAAACTGCATAATTGGATACTTACTGTTAGATATATTATATCTTTTATCTTTATCTTTTAGTTAGTTTGTTATTATTTTTTTATTTGTATTTTGGGCTTAATCCATATTTCTTCTATTATAAATAGAGAACCCTATGTGTATTTAACACAAGGGAGATTAATCCCAAATATAGTTTTTCACTATATTCAACACTTACTATATTACATGAAGGAATTGTTGTAATTAATATGAATTAGATCATTCAATAAGTACTTTTCCCCCTTTTCTCCCTTCCATTTCCCTCTCCCTCCTCCTAACATTTCATGACTTAAACAAACTTTTACTACTTTTTAATGTCTTTGAATGTTAATAAAAAAAATATGTATACATATAAAATATAAGTAAATCTTAATCACCTTTGTATATTGATCCATAGTTTATATTTTAGTTTTTCATGCAAAGGAAAATGAATGATATAAAAACAAATGTTTATGCTTGATATAATAAATTTCAAATTATAATTTAATATTTTATAATTTTGAAAATGATTTATGTAAGATTTCAAACTTGCTTTGATATTTGAAAATTTTGTTTATGTAATAAGTAATAATTGTTTTTTTCTTATTCAAGATCTCTACACCAGTTTTCATTTAAACGTAATTTACTCTATTTTCATACATTAAAATATCATTTAATTACACTTATAATCGTACACATATATCTAGTGTCGAGTTTTCTATTAAAGTTTACTTGGAATAATTTAATTTTTTAGATATTGTTATATGTGTTTGATCTTTGCAAATGATTTCATACTTTTTACGAAATATTTGAGACGATTAGTTGTTTACAATGTGTTATTTATCATGTTTGTAGTGTTGTTGAAACTACAATTCCTTTTTTACTGCACCTTTGTAAAATGTCTTTGAGCCTAGCTTACCACATCTTTTAAGTGTCATATTGTTGTTGTTTAGACTATTATTGGATTATTATTTCATTTTTAAATAAAGCCTTATTTCTCAGGGTCAAACTAGTATGTGAGTAAGCTATTATTTAAGTGTACGTGACCTACTTTTTGGCCATTTACATAGATTCAATATTTTTATCTTATGAATGTAAAGGTTTATAAAAGTCGTGCTCTTTCAATTGAATAAATAACAAAGTATTCTCTATTCACAAACAGTATGCACAAGTTGTGCTCTGTGATTAACAAGTGGTATCAGAGCTCCATATGAGGCTTGATACGATGTGAATATGTGTGATACAATGTGAACAGGTGTAACGCAAGTGAGAAGAGTGTGGAGTCTGGAAAACAGTGTGAGTGCACATATAAAAGAAAGAGAAACCATGAGTGAAAGAAATCAAAGGAGTGAAAAGAGTGTGGGGACTGCACATACAGAAGAAAGGGAAACAATGTGAGTGCATAAATAGAAGAAAGAAGGATGTCTGGCTTGGAGGACTTAAAGGTAAAAAATTACCTGTTTCAAGCCATTGATAGGGAGATATCACATAATATTTTGGACAAAAGTGTGTCCAAGAAGATTTGGCAATCCACGCAATGAAAATTCCAAGGCTCAACCAGGGTCAAGCGAGCACAGCTCCAAGCCTTGAGACGTGAGTTTGAATTACTCACTATGAAAGATGTTGAAACCATTGATCAGTATTTGGGACGTACTCTCAATACTATCAACAAGAAGAAGTCGAATGGAGAGGTGATGGACTCAAGTATTGTGGTTAGCAAAATACTCAGATCACTCACCCCAAAATTCAATTATGTTGTTTATTTAATAGAGGAATCTAATGATTTGAGTAAACTAAGTCTTGATGAACTCCATGGAAGCTTACTTGTTCATGAGCAGCGAATGTAGGACTCTCAACACGATGAACAAGTGCTGAAAATTACTCATGATAGTAGATCAGAAACAGGTCACGAATATAGCCAAGGAGGTGGCAGTTGTGATCGTGGAAGAGGTCGCGGAAGACAATCATTGAATAAAGCGCTTGTAGAGTGTTTTCGGTGTCACAAACTAGGACACTTCCAATACGAGTGCCCACGGGTTGAAAAACAAGCACATTATGCAAGGTATGAGGAATCATCAAGGGTAGAAGATGAAATACTATTGGTAGCATATGAAGAAACAAATCACCAATTTGTGCAGCAAGAAGATTGATTTCTTGATTCTGGTTGCAGTAACCATATGACCGGAAATAAACGATGGTTTACCAAGATACACGAACAGGGACTATGCAAGACCGTCAAGCTTGGTAATGACACCACTATGGCAGTAGAAGCAAAAGTGGACATTTGAGTTTGTATTAATGGCTGCTCAAATATCATCACAGATGTATATTACATCCCAGAACTTAGAACCAATCTTCTAAGTTTAGGGCAACTCCAAGAGAAAGGTTTAGCTGTATTGATTCAAAATGACACCTGCAAAATTTTCCATCTAGATCGTGGATTACTTCTTCATTCTAGCATGAAAGGAAATAGGATGTTTTATCTAACTTCCTCAATGAATCCTCGTGAATCATAGTGCCTTCATGTAAATGAATCTTCTGAACGAGAAGTACAACTTTGGTATAAAAGGTTTGCTAATCTGAACTTTCAGGGACTTTGCACACTTGCCAACAAGCATTTGGTAATCAGCCTCCCACCTCTAAAGGCGTCAAAAGAAGCATGCACCTTATGTCTCATTGGAAAAAACAACATAGGGACACCATACCAAGACAATGTCCTTGGAGAGCCTTGAAAAAACTCCAACAAATTCATGTTGATGTGTGTGGTCCCATTTCACCCTCGTCTCACTGCAACAAAAGGTACATTCTAAGTTTCATTGATAATTACTCTCGTAAAACATGGGTTTACTTTCTGCATGCAAAATCTAAAACATTTAGTGCATTCAAAAGTTTCAAAGCTCGTATGGAAAAAGAAGCCAACGCTTCCATTATTTGTCTAAAAATTGACAGAGGTGGTGAATTTACCTCTGAGGAATTTGAAAATTACTGCAATCATCAAGGGATTTCAAGGCAAAAGACCACAATACACTCCGCAACAAAACGGAGTTGCAGGAAGAAAGAATCGCACTATCTTGAATTCAGTTCGAGCAGTCTTACATAATAAATGTGTTCCAAAATCATACTGGCTTGATGTTGTCCGGTGGTGCTTTTCCGCGAAGTCCATCATCGGCAATAGATCACTAAACTCCATAAGCACTTTGGAGTGGGCTTAAACCACATGTTGGCTACTTTCGAATATTTGGTTGCATTGGTCACATTCATATTCCAGATCAGAAGCAAACAAATTAGATGATAAAAGTCAACCGTGTATGCTCTTGAGGGTAAGTCAAGAATCAAAAGTTTACAAACTATACAATCTTACCAATAATAGTCATCATAAGCAGGATGTAGTGTTTGAGGAGGACAAAAGCTGGAATTGGCATGGCAATGCAAAGGATGATACTCGAGAAGGTGAAACTCCAGTCTTAGAAGAGACACTAGTAGACTTTGTCCCACACGAACTTCCAGTCAGCCATGACACTAGCTTAGACCCACTGATTAATTCTGATTCAGACTGAGAATCTCATCATCCTACAACTGAAGGGATGGCAACAAGACAGAGGCGACCACCTACATGGATGACCGATTATGAAACGAACCTCTTGATAGCAGAAGAAGAGAGTTTACTAGCCATGATGATGTGCGAGTTTGAAGATCCTTTCTCATTTGAAGAAGCCCATACAAATCCAAAATGGAGAGATGCAATGAACACTAAAATCGAAGCAATAGAAAGGAATAACACTTGGGAACTTGTAAATCTTCCAAAAGAATCTACACCTATCAGTGTGAAGTGGATATTTAAGACCAAACTCAATGAAAGAGGTCTGATACAGAAATATAAGGACAAATTATTTGCTAAAGGTTACGCTCAAAGATTCAGAATCGACTATACTGAGGTTTTTGCCTTAGTCGCTCGACTTGATACAGTGTAAGTCTTACTAGCCTTGGCAGCTCAATGGACATGGGAAGTCTTCCAGCTTGATGTAAAGAGTGCATTTACATGGTAAACTTCAAGAAAAGGTGTTTGTCCAGTAGCCTGAATGGTTTACCAAAAGAGGTAGAGAAAATCAAGTGTATTGTCTCAAGAAAGTTTTATATGGGCTTAAACAAGCTCCACGAGCTTGGTATAGCAGGATTGAAGCATATTTTGCAAAAGTACACTTTGATCGGTGCTTTAGTGAACACACTTTTTTCATTAAAAGGTTTGATGGTAATATTCTAATTGTTAGCTTATATGTTGATGACATAATTTTTACTAGCAATAGTCGTCAAATGTGTGAGGACTTCAAGAGTTCGATGCAATTAGAATTTGACACGATGGATTTGGGAAGAATGAGGTACTTCCTAGGAATTTAAGTTATACAAAGTGATATGGGAATTTTCATTTGCCAATGACGTTATGCCCGTGAGATGTTAGCTCGGTTGAACATGACAAAATATAATCTTGTTCGCGATCCAATTGTGTCAGGCATAGGGATGGCAAAAAAATCCGCGCCCGCGGATATTTACTACCCGCAACCCGCGGGTAGCGGATATTTTAATACCCGCTTATAAACGGGTTGGGTGCGGGTATTATACTATCCGTACCCGCGGATACCCGCTACCCGCAAAAAATAAAAATAAAAATTTAATTTATATTTTATTAAGTTAAATTTAATTAAAATTAACATTAATTTATATTTTACAAGATTAAATTTAATTAAAATTGAATTTAAATTTATATTTAATTTAATTTATATTATATTTTATATATTTTTTGTAATTCTATTTAAATTTTATTTTAATAATTTATTAAAATATATATTTTTTTAATATTTGCGGGTATCCGCGGATATCCACGGGTATCCGCGGGTTTTAAAATACCCGCGGATATTTTTTAAGCGGGTATCCGTGCGGGTAGCGGGTCAGGTAGCGAGTGAATTTTTTTTGTCGGGTCGGGTTGCGGGTAGGCACTATCCGTGCCCGACCCGACCCGTTGCCATCCCTAGTCAGGCACTGTACTGTCCAAAGATGATGAAGGAACATTAGTTGATTCCACCAAATTTAAACAAGTTGTTGGCATTCTCATGTACCTAATTGTCACTTGATCAGGCCTAATGTTCGAAGTGAGTCTAATTAGCAGGTACATGGCTACTCCAAAAGCATCACATTTGGCTGCCACAAAACATATTTTGAGGTATGTAAAAGGTACCATTGAGTACATTATTCTATACCAAAAGGGAGGAAAAATTGAAATCATAGCCTATAGTGACAGTAACTATGTTGGGGATTTGGATGATAGGCAAAACACTTCTGGAGCAGTACTCATAATAGGATCAGGGGTTGTATCATGGGCTTCGAAAAAGCAGTCAGTAGTTAGCTTATCAACTACAGAGGCGGAATATATAATTGTAGTAGCATGTGCTTGTCAATGCATTTGGCTTCATTGAATTCTAGAACATATTGGAATCGAAAGAAAGGAATTAATCACAATTCTATGCAATAACAACTCCACTATTTAGCTGTCCAAAAATCCTGTATTTCATGGGCGCAGTAAGCATATTGCAGTAAAATTTTACTTTCTTAGAGATCTCATAAATGATCACGTTGTTCAATTGAAGTATTGTAATACTCAGGAATAAGTGACAGATATATAATGACTAAGGCGGTGAAGCTTGAACAATTTGAGAAACTTTGACAAATACTTAGAGCAGTTGATATTACTACACTAAGCTAGAGCTTAAGGGAGGATTGTTGAATTATTATTTGCATTTTTAAATAAAGCCCTATTTCTCATGGTTGAACTAGTATGTCAAGTTAGCTAGTATTTATGTGTTTTTGACTTACTTTTTGGCCATTTACATAAATTCAGTATTTTTATCTTATGAATAATGTAAAGACTAATAAAATAGTATTCTCTGTTCACAAATAGTGTGTGCACAAGTTGTGCTATGTGATTAACAGCTATCTCTCTCATTCTTCGTTTCTGCACCTTTTGCCAATGCATCACACTAACTTTTCATGTATTTTGATAATTTATTTTCGAAACATATTTCGTAGAGATATTTTGAAAGATATTATATATATATTTTAGAAAGTTTGTTCCGAAAATCCTGTTCGGAAACTCTTTTTATGGAAATTTCAGAAAGTTTATTCTGGAACGTTTACATATAATTTGGAGGTCACCGTAAAATGGACATTTTGGGGTGTATGAAGAAACTATAGGGGTGCAAGAAGTAAAAACCCAACTAAACGCTCTTCTCATATATAATAGTGTGATTGCGTGTCCATAAACTTTTTTTCTTAAGAAAGGTTGGTGTTGCAAGGGATGAAAAGCAAACATTGAAACTCAAGAATTGACAATCAAGAACCTACAACGGAAGATATTATAATTCATCACAAGATGCAAGTTTGAGTAAGGTTATAATTACACAAGAACAATGATTGGATTGTTTGGTTGTGGCCATAACATGACATCCTAGCATAAACCCATTTGTCAAAGATTAAAACTACCAAAAGAGCTACCTTAATCATAGGGAACCTTTGTTGAGCATTGTATATAACATATATACAAGGAAAAGAGCAGAACTCGGTGTGAAAAATAAAGCACCTTAACAAAATTCTAAATCCTGAAGCCCTGTTAAAATTCATCACAGAAAATACTTCATTGGGATCCTTGTGTAAGTCTCTGAGTCTCATTTTGGTCTCCCAGGGTTTCAATGAGAAGAGGTGGAGCATACTGTGCTGTTCCATGCTCTTCAGAATCTTGACAAAATGAGAGAATGATAGTGTCTATTGACATCTCTACAACTGCAAAGAAAAGGGTTGCAACAACATATCCAAGAGCCCAGCAAACCTGCATTGCACAAAATTACCATATTTCATGCTTTGGTTAAACCATTATTGATTTTCAAGCCCTAGTCTTACAAGATTATAAACATACCACAACAGGCAAAAGTGGAGATGATATCTTGTTATGTGCGGATCTGTACTTGTGTGTGTCCAACATGAGGAAAGCAAAAAGAACACTTGAGAGGCTGACACATAGTTTTCCAAGGAACAAAATAACATCTCCAATCACATTCACTCGTCCAATCCGTAGGATGTTACTCATGATCAATTCGGTTGCAATAGCAGAAGCTTTAAAGAAACTTTTACCCGTTATAGCAATCTGCAGGTGTAAGGCAAACATGTAAAATGTTAATAAATTATACAAGACTATATAAACAAACTATTTAACATGCAACAGGGCTTATGGAAGATTAACAAAAATTACCATGACATAAGCATTTCGGTTCACTGATTTGATGGTCCACCCAATACATCTCTGAAAGCATTGAGAACATTGGTAAGCAGCTTTGCCAATCCAGCTATCAGGCACGTGACCGGAGACTTTTAGTTTCCGGCGAATACATTCGAGCAGAAACCGGATTGACTCTATAAATGATACAGTCAGAGAACCAAGAGCCACAGAACCAAGACTGTAAAGCATAAGCCTCTTCATGGAGGAAAATACTGAAAGAAAGGGAATTTCAGGCTGCATTGAGAAAGATGAAAAACATTTATTATCGTATAAAAAATAATTTGTAACCATCAAAAGAAAAAGGTTTAGTTAATTGATAAACCAAATTCCAATCAGCCAAACAGACAAAAACCTAATGTTTGTCATTTAATCTAACTCTGAAAATTTGCCTTGACACAAGGAAATTTATAATCTAGTTAAGCCCAATAAATTATTGTTATAAATTGACTTCCTCTTTCCCATATCTTTAGATGCTTGCACCACTATTATTGAGATATTAAACAAGGATACAGTAGAGAGAGGAAAACATTAACAGATCAAGATAGTGAGGACAATTTAGTCAAATATAATGATGCTTTACTTCCATCAAATATTTCTTAACCTATGGTTACTATCCTTAAACATCAAAGATATGAGGAACTTGTAAAATGATATTCATATTTCACCAATTTCTAATCCTACAGTAGTATAGCTTATACTGATTAAGAATAATTTCTGAGCTCAAATGAAAACCATGGCCCTGTTATGGCTGAGACTACAAATTATTCAATCTCATCAAACTTTAGTAGTTTTTTTCTGAATATAACCTTCCCTTACCACATCATCAGAATTATACAACAATCACCAACCAATCCCAGAATGTTTGGTTGGCTACTGGGTTAAACAGTGTGGTCGAACTTAGTAGAAAAGCAATTTATTAGTCACATTATTCACCATGAAATCTCCTTTAATAATTTTCTCTGATGTTCTTTTTTTGGTCTGGTTTTATCAATTTTCATGAAGCTAAAAATCACGCAATCTAGTTCTGTTAATAATACATCCTCACAATTATGGCAAAACAAATTCTTCTAAATTGTTCATTTCTTCATTAGCATGGTATTTTGACTTACAGATGCTTCACCATGGGCCCAATAATAAGAAGCAACAGATCCAGCAATCACTGTTGACAAGCAAGCTATGAAAAATTGTGTAGCCCAATAACAGCCAAATAGGTGAAAAAGGATGGCAGCTCCAATATGCGGCGTGTAATGAATGCTATATCCACAACACCGATCACATATCACCTTTTTCTCGATGAGGTCATATGTGCAGCAATTAGAATTGCAGTTGTTCTGAACAACCTGACCAGAGCTGAACAAATGTAGAGCAGCAGAAATCCAGAAAATATAGAAGATTGCAAGGATACCACAAGGTATGATGGGAAAAACAATAAGTGCTTGAACTTCTCCTATCACTTTTGCAGCAACCTGTGAGCAATATTTGCATTAAATCAATTGAACTGATTGTCTACGTCAATGTGTCATAAGGGAAACAATGTTGTATCATCATTCCACAACTATTACAATGCTAGCATTGCTATGTTGTATCATACTATGTGACTAAGGGCTCTGTTATGTGTGACAATCTTGTGAAAGAGAATTTATGCATAACTTAGAGTTGAAAATAAGAGTGATTTATTATTCTCAATCATAAAAAATACGTTCCGATACCCTCTATTTGTAATAATCTAATTCTCCTAAAAAGGGAAATAGGGAAACTAAGAAAATAAAATATATATCTATTTTCTCTAATTAGAAAGATTCTAAAGATATTATCTCAAATTACAACACTCCCCCTCAAGCTGGATCATACAAGATTGTATGAACCAAGCTTGGAATAGACAAACTCAATCAGAGATAATGTCAATATACCAAATTGCACACACAAACAAGTGTAGCCCAAGAGACTCCTCAACATCATATGGAGAATAATGGACAACAATGGACAACCGTGAACTTGCACCATGAAACTTCAACTTGGACAACAATGGACAAGAGAGATTTCCATTAACAATGGATGATGACTTGCTGCAGCAAACTGCAAGAATGGATGAAGGCTTGTAGTGGTGAATCGCAACAAACTACAGGGACTAGATTGCCATCAATAGTGGCGAACAACAACAAAGCTTCAAGAACTTGATTTCCATGAGTAACATATGGGAGGCCTTCAAAGGCTAACAACAACAAACCTTTAGGGACTTAATTGCCCTAACAACAACGAACCTTTAGGGACTTAACTGCCCTAACAACAACGAACCTTCAAGGACTTAACTGTCCTGAACAGCAACAAACCTTCAGGGACTTAACTACCCTGAACAGCAACAAACCTTCAGGGACTTAACTGCCCTGAACAGCAACAAACCTTCAGGGACTTAACTGCCCTGAAGAGCAACAAACCTTCAGGGACTTTAACTGCCCTGAACAGCAACAAACCTGCAGGAACTGAACTTCCCTGCAGCGGCTAACAACAACAATCCTATAGGGACTTAACCACCCTACAGCGGCTGAAACAACAACAAACCTGCAGGGTCTACACTACCCTACAGTAGCTGAAACTTTTCTTCCCTTCACGATTGAACACACGTCAATGACATGAAGGTGAAAGAACGGGTGAGAACCGATCCGTACTTTGGGACAAATTTGAAACCCCTAACATCGAACGAGTCAAATTAGTGGGTGGTCTCATAGAACAACTCTCAGTGAGTTGTTACAACAGGGCATTGGCGGTGCAAGGATCCTTTCACATGGCAGAAAGAACTGATGCAGTGGTGTTGTGACAAAAACGCACCTGAGACAAGTTGAAGAAAGTTGGCGCGTGGAGGCACGTTGAGTAGAGTCTGGTCCTGACTCTGGTAGGGTTGGCCGTCGCTCAAGGAGGCGGTCCAGATCCGCTGGTCATCGGACGAAAGTGCGATTGTGGCCGGAGGCAGACGGTGGTCGACGGCGGAGAGCAGCGGAGCGATCCGGTCGTTGGTCGATGAGACCAGGAAATCAACGTGGCCAAAGAAGGAGGACTGGTACTACACGACGAAGGGTTCGGCTGAGGAGAGCAGAAAAGTCGCTGGCGACGATAACAACAGCGAGGAACGAGCCCTAGTGTGGTCAAAGCTTTACATCACTTTCAAGCAAGGAGACAGAGGAAGATTTTCTGGCCATGAAGGGGTGCAAGCTTCCTCAGCAACCCAAAAAAAGGGCGAAACTTATCCAAAGAAGCTTACTTTTGGTGAGCCTTGGCGCGTGGTTGACTGATATGTGCCAAGAGAGATATGAAGTCAAGGAAAAGAAAAGAAACAAGAACTCTCTATTTGGTAATACTGGAAAAAAGGCCAAAATTCTAAGGCAGAACTTGACTAGGGCAATTGAAGCCCGTTAAAAACACATGTTAAAGAAGAGACTTTAAGGGGGCCGCCGCCAAAGACAGCGGAAGCGGATCAAACAAGCTCTGATACCAAGTTGAAAATAAGAGTGATTTATTATTCTCAATCATAAAAAGTGCATTCTGATACCCTCTATTTGTAATAATCTAATTCTCCTAAAAAGGGAAATAGGGAAACTAAGAAAATAAAATAAAAGATTATATATCTATTTCCTCTAATTAAGAAAATTCTAAAGATATTATCTCAAATTAAAACACTTATAGTGACAACTGAATGTGAAAACTAACATATTATATGAGATTGTAGGTTATAGAAATGATGAAATTAATATTCCATAATCCGGACACATCACACATTAGCAATGAAATAGTTGTTATGGTTAACAAAAAATATCATTGGCAGAGAAAAGGATAAAATATTAAGCATCCGTTCATCAAATAGTTAAACAAGAACAATAGATGCTCAAATTGATACTGTGAATACTACTGCTTTCAGATGCAGACCTAGCAGACTAGCATTTCCCTAACCGGGGAGCGTAGATGTACTCCAATTGCTTACTCTAAGTAACTAGCAATCATCAAGGCGAAGGAGTACAACTTTATGAGATAAGACGAGTCTGCCACAAACTTTACTGTTTGTATTTTCTTTTCATTACTTTAACCACAAAGACTAACAGAAGAGGGAGATGTTTCTAAATACTACTGTAATAGCACAAACTAATCCATTTTACTGAGACCAACCAAAACAGGCCTTTTTCCTATGGAAAAACTAACACATTATTTCCCCTGTACTTTTTTCACCTTTTTGCCATTTTTCAATTAACAAAACACCAAGTTACTTCTATTTTTGTAGTGTTTGTTTTAGTTAATTCTAATGGAAGTTATTGTATCTTTTACACAATAGCCCATTGTGGTTTGGCACACCATAAAGCTTACCTTTATCATTAAACCTCCTATGGAGAAATAAACACTGGGGTGGTAGATTGAAGAAGTTTTGGGGTGCTCTTGGTTAACTCGAAAGAACTCAAACCCTTTTTTTTTGTCAGACTTGTTCAACTTATTTGAATGGTCAGCTTGTTACAATAGGTTAACTTATATTTTTTGAATTACCTATCCATCACCAATGAGTAGGTTGCTAATACCTTTTTCCAATATCTCTGATGTAAGGATCCTTATAAATATATGAATAAGCTAAAAGATTATTTTTCTCTCAAGCATTCTTTCTATTTCAACTCTCAAGTAAAGGTATTGTTAAAAATCCCACGTCAACTAGAGATAAGACGATTTCATAGTATATAAATGAATGCAAACCTTATCTTACAAGCCGGTTTTATAAGATTGAATTAGACTTAAAGTCCACTTCTTATTTTGTAGCCCTTTGAGGTTGAACGTTGTTCATGCCAGAAAAGAATTGAAACAGTGACACATTGCAATGTATTTAATAACCCTTATTACTAAATAAATGAGACATATCTTTCAGTTTTAACTTTTAGTTTGTTCTTTGTTCCAAATTGGTGAGATTCACTTCATTTGTTTGGTTTGGCATGTTCTTGTATTGTTCTTGGGCTTCTTTATTGGCACTCTGAGCAGAACAACAAAGAACTTAACCGATCTTGGAGCCACATGCCACCTAGAACACAACCGTTTTACATTGCTCGCCTAGACATATGCCACCCTTGTTCCTTTCACCAATCTTTTTAGTACTTGTTTTGACCCCCTGTTCCTCCTTTTACTACATGTTGAGATTCAAGTCCTCTTGAACAATGGAGAGTTTGTGTTTGTACCCTGGTCTTTTCTTTATGTAGTCTAAAATAGCATTTTGCCCTATCCACTCCGTTTTTGGGTCCTCCACAATTACTTCAAAAAAGCTTAATGGCAAAAATATTTATCTTGTTTTGCATATATTGAACTTTGGTTTCTTGGCCAAGGTTTTTGTGATCACTTGGAAGAAGATGATAGTAAAATACCAGCAATCGAGGTTCAAGAGATAGTGGAAGAAGATGGATTTTAAACATTATGCCTTGTGAAAATCTATGGAACCCAATATATAGGGAACTCTTAGAGCATTCAAAACTTCAAATGCCTTGTGAAAGAAGACTAAGAGCATTTTTCAACAAATAACATTCAATGTCATTATGATTATGTTCATAAATAGATATCTATTAAACAAACAGATCACAACATGAATTCTAGAAAGCCTAACAACAAGACTACTCTGTGTTCCCACTCTTGACAACAAAAATCTTCATGATTATGCTAAATCATATGTCATAGTGTCTACTTGTAGGAGGGGAGGCCGCATAAATAGATGAGGATAAAGTGATTAAGGATGTCCAGTGCTTTTCTTGTAAGATAATGAGTCATACTCAAGAAAAGTGTTTCTCTTTACATGGTTTCCTTGACAAAACAACCAATGTCTTTAAACTTGAGAATGCTGAATTCATATTTTCTGATGAAGAGTACGGGAAATATCTAAGTTTAAAAACCAATAGCCAAGCACAATCTTTCACCCAATCTAGCTTGTCAACAACTTGCATTTGTCAAACCGTGGAAAGTCAAAGTCCATGAATACTTGATTAGAGTGCTTTTGTTCTTATCTTTTATAACAATTGACTCAGTCACTTATTTTTATTATGTTCCTATACTGTTCTTATGTTCTTAAATCCACGATTTAGCTTAAACATGACATATTCTCATGTTCCACAGAAAATAGGAGATGCAATATTTGGTTTTGATCTTACAAGAACATTGAACAAATTGATTCGCTCTCGTGGCCAATTGGATTTGATGGAGTGTAGGTGTGGAGTCATTTTTGTGGAAGATCACCCTTCCATAGTCTTTATGAGGTTCCTTTGTGTGGTATGTACAGTAAGGCTTAATCCATGACTTTAGTGAATCGATTTAGTGTCAACTGGTAAGAAAACCACTCAAATTTCACCAATCCACCACAAAATCCTTCAAAAATTGTCACCAAATTTGTCACAACCTAACTGAGAGATATGGATCAGTGAAAACTTTGGTGCCAAACCTGACCAAGTGTTGATGCTGGTCGTGGTTCCAGTTCAGTGGTGTTGATTGTGGTGCTAATCTTGACTGTGGCTCTGGAACTATTTCTAGTGTTAATACTAGTTCAAAATAGCTTGGTTAAAATTCTAATCAATGTGCCTAAGTTGTTGTTGGTTCTGGTCCTTTGGTGTCTTCGTTGGAGTGTATCACAGTGCTAGTTTGAGTATTGGTTCTGGTGCTTAGACTGATTCAAGATTCTGGTTCAAAATTGGCTCAGGGCGTGAGCAAGATTTCCATAGCGTAAGTGAAATTAGGTGCAATCATAGTTCTGTAAAATCACAATAGTATCACCTCTTCCCTCTCTCTTTGTTGTCATAAATTATACTTTTAGTAACGAGTCTCTCACACATGACCGTACTTTGACCTTTCTCAACTTAAACTCACCTTAATTTTTTAACATTCATCAACTTCATGACAAGTGTTTATTTAAAGCAATTTTGCACAGAAAATAATGTTTTTCTTACATAACAGATTATTAAAAATGCATGATAAATCTGACCCTAATTGGAAGTTCATCCTCAAATATATTTTGGATTAAAAAATACATATAATTGCAGTCAGATATCAATCAATGAACCAAAAGAATAAACTCAATCATGTTTCATAATTATATTTAAAAAAGTTATGCTTGCCTTAAGGACAGAAGTTGCCATGAGGATGCGCCGAACAATAGCAATTGATGTAAGAATGGCAACAAGCATAATAAAGCTCATAAGGACTGTGAAAACCCGTAGATGAGTCAGCTCCTGCAAACGAATTCAAACAATAAATCATAATTGTAGACACAAAATAAATACAAAAGGACACAATCAAGACAGTACTCACCCTCACATATACATGAATGTAAGGATCATGCTCACCAATAATGGGGGAAATAGCATCATTTCCTATCCAGCCAACTGAAAGTCAAGGATTAGGCATTAGGCATTTTATTTGATTGGTGCTCCGTCAAAACATAGAAAAAGAAAATATTTGGCTAGATGATTCAAAACTAAAAGAAGCAAGCACAATATACTTCAAATTTAATCATCAATACACTATGCGTGTTAGTTATACACATTCTTTCATCCTACATTTCAATGTTTTGAGTTATATTCCACACAAGAAAACATTTCTTTTTTCATTGTTGCAATGCCCAAAAGGCATAGAAGATCAGGGATATCTGGATCATTTCCAAGTCCCAATGAATGGCTATGCTATCAAATGCAAACTCAAATTAGCCATATCGTCTAATATTAAATAAAAGAAAACACATTACAAATAAATTGTCCGCTTGTTTTCAAAGAACTCCTACCTCATACCATCAGTCATAAAATTTACCATAATTGTGTAGAAAACTTCGTGTGCTGGTCCAAAAATTCCTTTTCAATTTTTGGTATAGATTGTTACACAAGTAAATATGCGGCAAGTGTCTAACTATATGTTTGCAATATGTGTTGAACTAAAAATATGACAAGAGAATAGTTGTCTGCTTGATTGGATAAATGAGAGAGGATGCAAAAGTACAGCTGATGCAACGGTGTTTATGAAAATGGTGATCTCAAAAATGAATAGGCCATGCAGACGACAAGGAACTAAACATTAAACATGCAGAGCAAAGAAAGGAAAAATGAACAAAAAGAAAATCATAGTTGGTTGTCTCTTGTATAGTGCTACTGCCTTAAAAAAAACATGCATTTGGAAATCAAAATATCCCAGCAGAGATTCTAACCTTTAAGGTAGAAAAACATAGTAACCGATACCATTAGAACATTAAACAAAACCACTGTAACCCAAGGCATAGCACCAACAAAGTGCCGAATCATCAGCAGCCAAATCACAGACAGAAACAGAGGTAAAATCCCCCCACAAACAATCAGCACAGGCCATGACTTTCCTATGTCAGCCATGTATCTCTGCAAATAAAAGTATTTATGATACTTCAAATTTCTGTAACACATAATATAATGCTTAAAGGTAGATAAAATAATAGAACAAAGCATAGTTTTAAACAATTGTCATTAGTAAGAGTGAAAGTGACAAAGGGTGAAGGAAAGTCAGTGTGAAAATAGGTAGGGTATAAGATCTCATAGCACAATGCATATCCACAAGCCTCCATAATTTTCACTTGTTACAACTGTTGGGAAGTTCTACATCAATTACCTAATCTATTGGAATGTGGCTTATATATTTGTTGGATAATTTCACTTAATGTCAATTGGCTTTAAAATAAAATCATACATTGTATCAAAACCTATATAGCTTATCTTGGTAATTTCCTATTCTGGTAGGCTAGCCAGGTTTGGCAATTGGTTATACGATGAAATTGGATAACAGCTATCAGCTATCAACAGAACCGAGGAGATAAAACTTCAAATAAATTTGCAGTCTTTGCTATTTTAACAACATATCTTTTCAGCAGAACACTGATATCTCTAGGACACCTCCTTGCCCCAGAAACAAACTCATTTTAATTTCTTGTTTCTTCAAAACCAAGTTGCTGGTAAGGGGCTATGCTCTTCCAGAGAAAAATCACGCTCATAACATCAATTAAAGAAAAAGTCAGAAAGAAGCAAAAAATTAACCTTTAAGACAGCTGACTGAGAATTGATATACTCATGAATGGACTTATCAATAATAATGTCTTCTTTGATGTTAACTCCACCCATCTGCTGCCAATGCTTTAAAGATACATTTGATGCTCTAGCGATAAATTGGCAACTCCAGTAAACTAGACAAAAAAGTATGCTATAAGAATCAAGCACTTCATAGAACTCATCATATGTAGGATATGGACAGTTCCCTTACGCCCTGTCACTCCTCGTGCCCCAAAGAAAAGTGAAAAATAAGACCTAAACATAACACCTTCCTTACAAGAGGCACAATTAGCAACCAAGGTAAAAAGTCAAAGTAATGTGTCAACACAACAGAATCATTAGAATGCATGCAACAACCAGTGTTATCAATGGTGGAAGGCCAAAATTCTGCCATATAACCACACCATTATGGTCAATGGCACTTCCACAGCAGGTCTCCTACACAAATTGCATATGGCAGGTAGAAAAAAAATCCATCAAACCATGGTGCCACCATTTAACAACATTGGCAACAATGTGACATTTATGAATGCATTAGGAATGCAAAAAGTTTTCTCACCGTTTACACTAGGAAATATGACAGGATAACAAGGGCCCTGAAGTTGAAGTGAAGAGTTTCTCATTTCTGGCGTAAGGAACTCAAAATAATCATAGTTCATATCAATCCAATCATTCAGTGAAACGCGAATATCTCCTTCAGGATAATCACACACCCAAGTAAGTGAATCTTCAGAAGGTATAGGGCAGTCCAGCAAGCATATACTGCGGGCATTGGCAAGTTTGAATTGGCTGTCCTTCAATCCACTTTGATAAACCTGATTAGGATTTAGCCAGTATTTGAGCTCCAATTCTCGAAGATCTTGAGCTGCATGCTTCTGCCCACATACATTTCCTTTGTAGTCCAGCCCATAAGTAAGCCTAGTGAGACAATAAAAACCAGTGACAACAATTTACAAAACCATAACAACAAACGCTTGAAAAAAATTACAGGTTTCATGCTACCACACAATCAGGTTTCACGTCTTCTTTCAGACTTTCAGTTCCTCAGCAACTAATAAATAACAAGAGTAGTAAAGTGGACAATGACATGCAATACAGAAGATCTAATAAACAAAGGATTTTTGTGGTATATTAGTTGAACAATTAGTCAAATTAAAAAACCAAAAATTTGACAGGAAAGGTTAAGTAGAAAAATGTTGGACAGCAAGAAATACCCTTTCTCCAAAAACACACAAAAACAAGGGAATCCATAAATTGTTAAACACACCCATGGCAAAACCACAGCTTCCACTTGCAGAAACTCCATTAGCAAAATGCACAGCCAGATAAAGTTACAAACTTTAAGATCCTCACCTTAATGGGTTTCCTCGGTTGAAAGCAAAGCTGGAGTTGACAATCATGGCAATCCAGAAAGCTATAAAGATAATAAGAACAGCTATGTCTCTGCATTTTCTGTTGTGCTTAATGATTCCACCCAAATGAGTGCTTCCATCACTTGAAGGGTACCTCCCTATGACTGCACCCAAAGGACCCCTCATTTTGAAGCCTTTCTATATATGTATGTATCTCTTTACCAACTGCAAGTAACAAGCTTGGGGGTTTAGTTCAGTATTTCAAGGAGAGATGCAGACAACATGAAGAAGAAACAGAAGTGGAGTAGAAGGTAGGACACTGTTGAAGCTTCTGTAGTGGGCAAAGGTTTAGATTTTGGGACATTGAAAATTATTATTATTGAATAATTTTATTATTATTCATCCCATCATAAGACAAAGATATTCTGAAAAGTCTAAAGTGCTTATTAGAAAAATAAAAAAGACCACAGTCCTTGTCTTGTTGGGGCTCACTTCGTAAACATAGCCGAGCGGTGAGAAGTTTGTCGGTTCAAAGGAATATTATGGGTCGGGTTCTCATTTTCTATGCCAAGAATGACAAATTAGATTCAATAAAAGCTTATCAATATTTTTATTTAATTAAGTTTTAAATTTGTAATAACTTTAGATAATTTTAATTAAATTTTTTCATAATATATTAAAATTTTAAATTGTTTAATTTTTAATTAAGTTGTTGTTATTTAATTTTTGTGTTAATTGAATGGTATGACTGTTATTTTATCTTATAATTTTTTTATATATATTATTTTGTTGCAACCGGTTTAAAATTTTATATAATTTTAAAAATTACTTTTATGATATCTTATATTATGTTTCAACTACAAGGGTTAAGTCAATTTCAAAGCTTATAGAGTTAATTTGTTATTGAAATTATATAAAAAGATGACATTAAAAATGTTTACATGACCAATTGAGTAATTTAATTATTTCAAAGTGAAGAATAATAGTTTAGCAAATAACTGAAACCACCGTAGTGGCAAAAGATTTCAATAATATACACAATGTCTAAACTCTAACATTCTACCGTCATTATTCATTAAAAAATGAACATACGTTAGTACTTTAAAACACATTATAACCCTAAAATTAATTATAAGTAGTTACCATTTGATAAATTGATTAAACTTGTGTAATAATTCTGAGTGAGTAAGTTTTGTTTATTAAGGTTGCTTTTAAATTCAAATTTTCACACAAAATATAACCGATACATTTTAAATTTATATACTTTAATTATGAAAGTTATGAAGTTAATACTTTAATTACTTCATGAGTTATACGAAGGACATTGTTCTTCAAACTTCATACATAAAACATTTTACAAGAGAAAAATAAAATATAAAAAATGCATAAGTTAAAGCTAACTTATCTATAAGGATAAAAATGAAAGTTTTACCAACTAACTTACATATAAATTAATTTTGAATTATATTAAAATTTATTTTTTATCTTTTATTACATTTGAAGAGCATTTAAAATATTTTTAAAATATTTTTAATTTAATATTTAAGTTTTATAAGAAATTATAATTGAAATAGTACAATTTTAATTTAAGGTTTTGAATTTTTTATATATAATGTATCGTATGGTCCTCTCGATCCTGTAAATCTAACGGCTCTCTCAAGGTCGACATACCACTTGGTCCTTACATCATCGTGTACCAAATGGCTCTTCCCAAGTCGACCACTCAGGTCGATCGACTACCAGGCCGACCACATGGTTAGACTATAAATAGTGATAACTCATTAACACCCTAATAAAGATTAAGATGTGATTGGGTTCCGGCCAGTGAAAAGTAAAAGCCCATAAGCTTATTACAACTAGTATAAATAAATGTTTCAGGTATAACTCCGGACCACAATGCATAATATACAAAATTATTTGTTCTTTCAAGTTACATTACTAACTTGTGAGGACCAGACAGTATGTTGGCTTGGGAGAACCGTTTGATTCACGCAGTCGAAAAGACTATATGGTACATATAATATTGAGATTATATATATATATATATATATATTTTGTAGAACATCAAAAATTAAGATATCTTAGAAGATGATTGGGTAAGAAAAATATAGAAAATGATAAGATGTAAATAAAATATTAATGTAGAAGATACAAAAGATCAAGGAGGAAGATCGAAAGAAGGATTGTAGAGAACTCGTTGTTTAATGGATGGAAGACAATTTTGAGAGAAGCTCACGGTTGATAAAGGAATTAAAGTTAAATCGATAGAGTAATTGCTTATAATAGCTCTGCATAGCATGGGAAAAGTGGACACAACAATGTAATATGGATATGAACGGTTTTAAGATAATTATCATAATTGGTGTAATTTTTTTTTTTTAGTTTAGTTTAAATTTGGTGGGGGTGTAAATAGGTAATTGAAAACAAAGATGATAAATTACGATTATAATTCATAAATTTTGTAAATGCCATTGAAAAAATAAATAGTAAATCTAGTGATAAATGTAACAATTTACATTACTACTTTCATACTGTACAGTTACTTTTTTATCTTTGATAGTTTAATTTTATTTCAATTTATATTTATGCAAATCTTCCACTTCATCTTCATTTTATTTATTTATTCTCCATTTTTATCATTGTTTGCTCTCTACCCATCATTTCATCTCTAAATACATACACAAAACAAAAGAAATATATGATAGTTGAAAATAAATGTTTGAATTCTTGATTAAAATACGTATTAAAAGATAATTTACAACTTGAACATCAATGTGACATTAATTTATAATATAAGTAAGTTACATATTAAGTCCATTCTAGTGGTGGAATCTTGAACACCAAAACCCTCTAATTTAGATTAAAAAAAACATTAGTTTGGTAAACAAAAATCTATGTTAAATTAATTTGATTTATTTAAAATATATGTCAAATTAATTTGATTTATTTAAAATATATTGGACGTATCAAACCAAAATCTTTATATAAATAATATTTTCTAGTAACTCGTTTTGTATTCTAATATTAATATTAATTAGAATTTTGAGTTCGTATATTATTTTCATTAGAAATAGTTCTAGAATCAATTAATTTGAAAAGGTGTAAGAATCTAGAGTATTAGAGTAGATAGGTGTATTAAAATAATGAGACAAAAATTTTATTTTAAAATAATCTTATAATATAATAGAATTTTCTAAGGTTCGGTTCATTATCTAAATCACCTTTATCTCTCTAAAACATTATTTTCTTCTGTCTCTCTAACTTCTCTCTAGATTTTCTCACTCTTGGGTTGTCTATTTAACGATCAGGAGGTGCCTAGACAATCTTGGCGTCAAGAGCAACAATTTATACCGATCAATTTCTTGTTTTGAGTCGGTAAGTCGTTTCCCCCTTTCTCCATATGTTCTTGAAACTTTAAACATGCAAAGAATCCTGTTTGCGTGTATCTAGTAGTGTTTTCTTCCAATTTCTAGCTCAATTTAGGTACTAAAGTTGATCTCTTATCACCAACCGGTGAGTTGTAGGTTTTTGTAGAGTTTTCTTGCGGCACAAGCTTCAATTTGGGGTTTTCTAGAGCTGGGTAGTATTTCTCTGAGGTAAGGGAAGCTAGAAATGTCTTTGCATTTGAATTGATTGTGCATGTTTTTGATATTATAATTTCTAAACTGTTGAGTTGAAATCATGTTTTAGAGTAAGTGAATATGATGAAAATTTATGGTTTTGAAGCATGAATGATGATCTGAGATTGTGAACCTGCATTGAATGATGTGTGCTTTATTAGTTTGTGTTTACGATGTTAGAAATCTGTCATATTAAGGTTTGGTGATAAGAAGAAACAACTTACTTTTGTTTCATAGTTAATTTGGAGGAAGTAGAGTGGTGAAATTGAGAAGTTGTGGTTAGAAGTTAAATTGGTTTGTTAGGGCAGCTTTGGTAAGTCAAATATGACTTGTTTGAACCTTAAACCGATCAAAAGTGTGTTAGAAGTGGTAGATTTGATTTTGGGTCTACAAGTTATGATTTTAGAAGTTTTGAAGTAAGAATTGGTTAATAATCATTATAAAATGATGGTAGGAAGGTTTAGAAACATTTAGTCAAGTCTAATTAGGTATATAACACAATTTATGAGTGTTAGAAGTTGGGAAAAATAGTTAGAATTGGTAAATGGGGTTTGAGTTGCATAATTCTGCATAATTTCGTGCTGTAGATTATGTAGACTCATTGAGCGAATGGATTCGCACAACGAGTGGTCATGGCGAGTTGCTCTTTGCTTGAGCGATTCACACAGTGAGATGGTGCGCTGTACGAATGCTTGTAAAGTTTGCTCTCTGTATGAGCAATCCGCATAGCGAGATGATGCGTTGTGCGAATGGCTATGGGGTTTGCTCTCTGTTTGATGATCTGCATAGCGAATCATTTAGCTAAGCGACTAGAGGTGGTCTGGGGTCACTGCCAAATTAATTCGAACAGCGAAATAGGGCGCATAGTGAGTATATGGGGGGTCTAGGCCACTGTCTAGACTGTCGCATAACGAATTGGGGCGCTATGCGAGGGGTTGAGGTCTGGTGCAATTAGTAGTTTAATTCGCACAACGAATTGTGTCGCTGAGCGAGTGTTTGCGGAGGTTGGCTCACTGTTAGTGGATTCACACAACGAGTTTGGTCACTGTGTGAGTAAAGTCAGTGGTTGCTCAGCCAGTATGTGCGTTGAGCGACTGTCCCAAGTTGTCATGCATTCTTTTATTCTTTGTTCTTTATTGGTTGTAATAATGAAATTGATTTATTTGTAGATAACGTATGACCATGTATGAGTATTATATAAGTAAGGTTTATGGTTTCAAATGATGTGGAAGAGAATTTCAAGGAGGAATTTCTCAATGGTGATTGTCAAGTTTGTAAGTATGAATATGGGAAGCTCAGTCTTGGAGTTCATCCTGACATTCTAATAGTCACATATTCTTAAGTAGAGAGGGGTGAGGCATGTCGTGAGAATAGTAGGAGGTCCTAGCCTAGGGGCTTTTCCTTAGCCTAAGGTGAGTGATAACGGACTAACCTTGTGTGGTAGCTTGGAGTGGGCCAACTGTTTCACCACAACAAGTGCACGAACTGGCATAGCTACATATTCATATTAATCCGGATGTTCAAGTCAATTGTTGAGTAAATATAGAGTTAGTTAGTTTGGATATGATTGCGTTAATCTACTTGAAATTTTAATTGTATCCATATATCATTGCTTGTTTTCTTCTAGCTTACCCTTCTATCTGTGTTTGTGTTGTATGTTTTCTTGGTTTTCTTTCTTTGCAATGATATGTGGGTGTGAGCAGATGGAGATGAGGTGTCCCTAGAACAGACTCTTGATGGAGGCGATGCTG